CCCCCCCCCCCGATGATTTGAGTTTGATCAGTTTGAGACCCCTGCTTTAGAAACTATTTAATATTTTTAAGTTAAAAGCCTTTTAAAAGCCAAATCGGGATTAAAAGGGTGACGAAAATAAATAATCTAACCCACTCAGGTCTAAATATATGAAATGCAGTTATGTTTAAGGTTTAAAAAAATAAAAGCAATAAAGAGTTCATCTACTTTTTCTGTAAGGAAAATTTAGTAAGTCACTCGTCTGCTTGCAATCACTTCTCAGCTGCTGCACACAACAACATCCACCATCTTTCCTACAAGAGAGCGACCCGGATGTTATATTCGTGGCGAATAAGTGTGACAAACGGAGCTTTCGCGGGTTTAGTTTAAATTCGCACTTTTGCTCAAATGTTACCAATTTTAAACGCTTGATGAGTTTAATTGAAAGATATCCATTGATTTAAGTCTTGAATATATTTAAGGTGAGCCCATTTAATTTTTTATTGAATTTAATTAATTGAATTTATAAGGAGATCTTAAATTGAATAGACTATTACATTTAATCACTAATGACAAATGGCAATTATTTTAGATCTCAGTCACAAGTTGATTATTAGTCGTCAAATTGAAAAAGTCAAAGCAAATAATTAATTACAACTTTTTAAGGCACCAATTTATTTTATTTTCTAAATAAAATAAGTAATGGAATTTAAGTTTTATTTAAATAAGGTTCAGATTGTCAATGACAATAGAATATGAGTTTTGGAGTTGTTGACCATTGTTGTGATTGTGATTTTTTTCCACCTCTTTATGTCTATATTAATCCGCCCTCATAAGACAAACACTCTAAATATTAATTGCGCACCTTTTCTGTACAAATAATAGATTCCACTAATTGACCAGTAACTCATAGGATACCTTTCTTTTTTTTTTTTGAGTAATCCAATAATAGTGTATCTACATTCTAATAAAGCTAATTCATCAAAATGTCTCTTGCGAACTGATGGATTTTGCAAGTTGTGGTCAGTGGCGATGTGCGAAATCCATGAGAGCCCTCATCAGCTGCCTTAATGTAGGTAGGAAATACATTTTTTCCTTATATTTGATTGATTAGTGGATTTTTATTTTTATGAGTTACTTGTATTTTAAACATTTAACATTTCATATGATTTTTAAACTCCTGTTCAGGAGTAAAATATTTTAATTCAGATTTATGCCAATGAAATGTTTTTCTAATTGACTTGACAGTTAAGGTTACCATCCCTTTGATTCAAGTTCAATAGTATTGTAAAGGATATAATTTGTGCTAAGTGAACTAAGCGTGTAAATAAAAGAAAGTCATTCAAACACCATGGGTTTTTTTTTACTATGAAAAAAGAATCACTTTATTTAAATTACAGTGCATTAATTAAATAATTTCTCATCCATAAGAACACACACAAGCACACATCCATAGACAGTTTAATTAATTAATTAATTTTTTTTACCCACAAGGTCACTTGTTTTTATTTTAATGTTTTATCATTGGACCAAACCCTACAAGCTATTTAACAGCTACAACAAGAATCACATTTAGAGGAATTTATATTTCTGTTTCTTTTATCTCTCATTGCAAATGTAATTGCTAAAAAGAAAACAAGTAGACTAGTGAACAGTTGCATTTTTTATATAAAATTGCACTGACAGTGTAAATATAAATTAGGGACATCCCTTTTGCTTGCTTCAAATTTGTGCATTTCAAGGTGCAAATTATTGCTTAGTTGGGGCAGGATACACCTGTGAGCACTCATTTATTCTGGGAACTGCTTTGTTTTTTTTAAATAAACAAGTCTTTAAATTCATTGTAAAGATTAAAAAAAATTATCTGCCAAGTAGGCCTACACTTTTACTGGTATAGTGGCACAAAACTGTAAAAGCTGAAAATCTCTTCTGAATTGAACATTTGGCCAGAAGGTTGTTCTTTCTTGTTGCACAATATTAAGAGTGAGAACTAGAAAGAAGAAACAAAATTGTTCCACTTCATTAACACCTGTTAATTTTAACAATACAATTCTGTGTTCTCCCCTGAAATATTACAAACTTTTTATGGGACTGAGCTATTGCTCTTTTATTGACCCGGCAAAGCACTTTACAGGTATGCTGCATTTGCTGGGCATCGCCGTAAATCAGACTTTCTACATGGATGTCCGGGGTTTTCCTTACCCCTCAACTCGTTAGTATTGGGCACTCTGCAAGAAGTGCACCACTCTCTGCAGTGACTGACACTCGGTTTAAGAAGCACGTGATTTATTCCCCCTGCCCCTAAACCAAATGAATGCATTGTACTTATGCTTGCAATAGCATGGCATAACATCAATGTAGGAACACTAGAAGCATTTCAGGGTAAGAAGAAAAAAAAACAAAGAAAGCCAGTGACAACATGAAGCAATCAGTACAGAAGACCAGCCTGGATTATAGATACAAGTTCTTGACTATAGGTACAAATATTGTATAAAGCTGCTCCAATCAAATAAAAAAAAAATGCACTCTATTGCTAAGTGCTCAATTTATGTATCAGTTTATTCAGGGGGTCTCCATTAGCCTGACATTTACTCCTTAAACATTACTTAGAAACATCTTCTAACCAGCTATAAAAAATTGGAAGCTTTTAATATCCCCCCAGTGGATCCAATGAAAATGTTCATAATCACAACCCCCCCCCCCCCAACCCAGCCAAAATACTTCAATTAAGTACAATGATACAATGTTCTCAGGGTATTTTTTTTTACATCAATGGAGAGAGAAATTCTGGTAATTAAAGATGAAAGGAAAGTATTTAAATCTAAGCTTGTATTACTTTAAAATCTTTGAAGTATGTCTGCAAATAGCATGGCAATTGTTCTATTGATGGTAAAAAAAAGTATTTAGACAAATTCCTGATAGTTATCTCTGTTGTTTTTTTTATCCGCTTGTTTCTGGTCCACACAAAATTGGTTCTAATTTAATTGTCCATTTTTGCATTTAAAATTTACTTTGCCAAAACTTATTATTTTTTTTTAAATAAAGAAATTTCAAAAGCTATTTTTTTAAATCTTTGCTAAAATGTAGAAATGTAACTTAAATTATTTGCATACCTTAATGCCAAATTTCTTTTTCATAAGATCAGATAGTACATGTCTGATTCCAGAAAATGAAAATCTATGTTGGAAAACAAATAAGCTAAAAAGTGAGTTCTCAACATAAGATATATCTACAACTACTAAAATGGTCCAATAATACAATAAGTAAATAAAAATTTTATTTAGGACATATGTATTGCACTTTATGGTGACAAGTTCATTTGAAATTAATAGCATGCACAATAATATAATAATATATATTAAAGATTCATTCACAAAATTTTTAAAGAAATCTTTCTTCAAATTACACCAAATTAAAGATGAGATTTTTTTAAATAAAAAAGTTATCTTTCTCACGAGAGTTAAGTTCATGTTTCGTTTCATCAATACATCATACATAAAAAAAGAGGTTTAAAATTGGTCATATTCTTTCAAGAATACATACATATTGGGAAAAACATTTTAGCCATCAAATCTACAGGACATGAAGTGTTCCTATTTAACAAGATATGAATCTACAACTAGTTATACTCATGCAAATATTTTTTAGACTTAACATTTTCTTTGGCACCAATTCTTATCATTGGATTATCAAAATGGCTGACTCAACACAAGACATTGGAGGTAATTTTCATTAACATCTCCACCATTTTTTAAATAGTTTAAACAACAAGTCTCAATAGTGAAGAATTTCAACCAAGTATAGACTGTACAACATATCTTTAAAGACAAAATTCCATCCAGATGAACAAGATATGTAAATCTATCATTTGCAACAATAAGATTACAAGAGCAAGAATTAATTGTTCCTTCATTTACATGCAACCTAGCCAAAATTTGGAGTTATATACACATTATCCAATTCATGTCTCTACACACCGGGACGAACCCACACATTTTTAATCTTTTACAAAATCAAGACAAGATTCGCTTATTCACAAACGTCTAACACTAATAATTTAATGCCAGGTTTACTGACTGAATGCCCAGTCTCCCTATTCAACCAGACCATCAAAATACAGTGTTGGTATTGAAACATGCATTTCTACAAAGAGTAAAATAAAAATGCACTATATTGTTAAAAATGCAACAACAAAAAAAGGCTGTGTGAACATGACATCATGCCCGATACACAGTATTGGTGTAATACAAAATAGTTACATAAACCCACTTTATATATTGACCACTATCTATATAAGGGTATATAGTTGCAGTTAATTGAACAGACTTTGGCTATCATTACACAATAAAATCCCCACTCTTTGTTATAATATGAAATTATATTAAACATTTTTATTTTTGTTAAAGTTTATTTTATAAATTGCTTTTTCTTTGATTTGTTTTAAGAAAAGGCTAGATATGCATTATATTTAGTAGTAATTTTGTCAGTTTAATTATTTTAAAGACAACAAGAGACCTAAAGCATCAATTTTTTTTTTAAAATCTGGCTGAACTCTAAATGCTTTCTAGGTGAAGCTCAACTTGATGTATGGTGTCATTTTCTAATGGTTGTGTCACTTGCCATCATGCTACTGGCACCAGCTGACAATATGAAGAGTTTCAAAGTTTCAATCACTGTGACAGTGGAATGTTTTTAGAAAGGGGGGAAGGGGGGGGGGGGGGCGTTTAAAAATGATAATACCTTTGTTATTTATAAATTGACATTTTAGCATCAAGAATGAGACTCAATCACTGGAGATGAGCCCTGTAGTACACCATTGTATCAGTGTATAGAACGTGTTTACCAAAATTGTCCAACAAAGCCATTTCCTTCTTGTTACTGTAAAACATGTTTTGTTATACACTGATTACATGAGTAAGTACAACAACCACTGCCGAAACAGTCCAGGTAAAATATGTCCTTTTACAGAGTTTATATAACAACTGATAATAGGTAAATATTAATAAGAATTAATAAACTGAAACAACAAAAGATTGATTCAAAGGTAAATTTAAAGTAGGAAGAGGTTATAAGGTATGATGCATGTATTGTTTCATTTAATGAGATGAATAGAATATATTGAATTAATGTGTTTGAGTAAACGTGTTTTAAATTGTAATTGTGCCTCAGTGATTGGACATAAAAATGTAATAACAATGCCATGGAAATAGGACTTGGCTCTTTCAAGACATATAAAAATCAAATTAGTTTTTAGCAGCATAGCTTTGTGGGTACTAAGGGCTAAATATATCTAAATGAATTATTAGAGATTAAATCCAGATGGATACTTTGTATGGACACCATAAGCCCAATCAGTTCTAAATGAACTGAAGAACACAAGAAAAAAAACAAAGTGGGAAATAGGAATGTGATGATACTGATTAAATAGTAAGTCAATACTGAAGTTAATAGGGTACATCAGCTTCTTACAGATACAGACACTAGGGGCAAGGAATTGAACACAGCTCTCATGGTCCATGGTGATTTCTGTACTCACAAATGATTGTACATTAATACTATGAAATCCAAGCTGCATCCATTGACACACTTTGGATGACATATGACAAGTTCAGAGTCATTAAATAGAGGAGTCACGTTACCGTAGCTACTGCAAGCACTTGGGTTGTTTGGTGTTTTACATTTCCCTTTTTTATGTTATATTTTCAAAGTAAAGGTAGCAGAGACTGGTATGGCAATAATGACTTACGCTATTGATTAGTAACAGTTGAAGTTCTAAAAATGCCAGATAGCATTAAAATTGTATGAAAAGTACCTAACATAAATTTAGAGTCATCTGTATGCGCCAGGTACCAATGACGATTGTACATGAGTGCAGTACTACTTAAGATGATTATACATAGAGGCACTACAGACATTACTGGATTTCATTGAAATAACACAATCAAGATCACCCAGAGATTATTAGACATTGAAAATGTATACAGAGATAAACAGGAGACATGTCTTATCATGAGAGCAGAACGCTGCCCATGGTACTAAGTAAATATAGTAAAGGTGGCACCTTTTAACTCAAAACAAAAAATGTACTCATTTTAACATCAAGTTCAGCCAGCTGATTAACTATGAGCCCTTCAAACAGTTTTTTTTTAACATGTGGTCTTTATCTCATCCCATAGCATCCATGGTTAGATTTCAGGCGAGTTCATGCTCTTTATTTAAACAAATGTAGTTTTTTTAATTTATGCATTTTAAAATCTTAAAAAATAATTATTTTTTTGTTGAGGAAACTTATACATTAGGCTTCAGACTATCAAAGTCCTCAATTGTTACAAAACAATGTTAAACAGCCCTGGCTTCAGAGTAATGATGTAAAGAATGCATGAGTAATCTCATTAACAGTTTATAAACATGGAGGTACTGCATAGTGATAATGACCAACAAATGTTAGCAGCTAGAAAAAAACATAGAAGGAATGGCCAAGGAGTATAATATAATATATATATATATGATATGAATCTTTCAGAAACAAATAAATCAACACAATGTTCATCGTTTAAAAATAACACATCTGTACAATATAATACACCAATAATAAGAAGGGTGTTAAAATAGGAGACTGAATAAAAATAGATTCGCATCAACAGATATGGAGGCTTCAAATATGCAATAGACATTTAAATTTAATTGAGTATCTTACATCAAACTATGGATTCTACCTTAAAAATACAGTTCAAGAAAGCTTAGCTTGTTTTTTTTTTTCTAGCTCCAAATAAACAGGAGAAATATACCAAACATATTAATTCTGTTCTTCCTCATTTATAAAAAAAAAAGGAAAAAAAAGACATAAAATGGTATTCTATTATTGCAGTCAGTAATATAACAATCAGGGCTGTGGAGTCAGACTGTCCTTGCTGGATTTGTAAAACTTGAAGACATATGAACAGTGAGAATTTTACTGACTCACAGCCCTGACAACTCACATTGTATTCTGACCACCATGTAATAACTTTGCTGAACATCATTTTTTTTTACAGATAATATAATTTGCCGATCGAAAAATGCCACATTAGTTAAAAGCTGATATTGATACAGATTCATGCATTCAACTTTTTAAACTTACCTACATATATACATTTGCTTCCAACACTGTCTCTTCAATTATCTTATTTCATAATCATCACTTAAATGTATTAATCTAACAGCTATGAAAGCTCTGCTAAAAAAATAAATACCCTTTTAGCAGTTAAGATCATTAAGTAATGCATCACCTAAACCCATTTAGGAATTATGGCCAGAGATAAGTTTTGAGCCCAATTCTGCGTGAAGCAGGGAATGGGGTGGTTTTTCAAGGCTTGGGTGAGAATGTAGCGTGGACAATATTTAGGTGGATAATATCTGGTCAGGCACCCATAATCCCTCAGAAGATTAGAACACAAAGAACAAGAGGCTGCTAACACATTACTACTTAGTTTATCCTTATATAAATGAAGCCATAAACTTAAAGTGACCAAACCATTAAAAAAAAATTCAAAAGTTAAGAAAAGATTTAAATTGACTATTTTGATAAAATACAATATACCCGGTATTAATTTTTCAGGGCTTATCCCTGGCATTTCTAAACTAAGTTATTTAACATGCACCTGTTTACATATATAATTAGTTGATATGCACTGACTTCTTGGTACAGTACTGTAATCGATACATACAGTATTTTATTCTATGACTGGCCTGTTCTCTCAAAAATAAAAATTGGCTTAGTTTTAGCATGCTTACATTGACAGGGCTGAAAGCAAGTCACTTTACTCTTTTTAAAACAAATGAGGGCTCAGAGATTTCAGCCAAAGAAAATCAACTTATTAAAATATTTCAATTGTATTCTTTTTTTTTTAAAGTAGTTCATTGCTGCCATTTAAAGGAAGCCTGAAAAAAATTCTGGAAAAAAACATGAAATTTTTAGACTGCTTTGTAAAGTTACACATAATAAATTATTTATAATATAAAAGTACATTTTAAATAAATCTCTCAACTGACTATTCTCATACAAAGTACAGATTTTTTAAAATTAAAATACCATCCCTTTCATTTTGCTGCATGGTAAATTGATTTTTTTGATTTAACATATGTACAAGACAGATAACCCCATGCACCTGACGACTACTGAAGCAGTGGGATGCGCCATCATACATAGCTGACACTTGGCTCTGGATCCACAAAGTACTTGCCTAATTGTATTAGTGAAAAATTGAGAAAATAAATTTTTTGAGACTTTTAACATAGCAGAGCTTCAATAAACTGCTTTTGAAAATTTAAATTTATTTTAGAGTGTCACTCTTTAAAAAAAATTAATCATCCATAAATTGGTCCTAGTCAATTCTAATTTCACAGTGAGCAAATGCTGGCAGGGGATTGAATTAACTGTGGTTTTGAAAGTTAAAATGTATATTAATGTTTTTTTATACATTACATTATATCATAAATTTTACTTCACAATTAAAAATATTGGAGATTTGTATTTCATAACATGGTGTAAGACAAATGATATAATTCAATCCTCAAAAAATAAAAAAACACTTATGATTTAAAAATTTGCCTACATACCAGTGCAAAATCTTTTCTTCATCAAAGATATTCTGTAACCAGTACCAGACAGCTCAAATTCTGCACCCGATAATGTGGCTCCCTCTGCAGCAAACTGCATGGCAGTTGTCACTGGTTTCGTGGGACCTTTACTCAATTCAAATTTGGCCCGGATGCAGCCTTGCGACTCCTGCTCACTAACCTCAGAAATATCATTGAGTTTCCAAGTGGCTCGTTTGGCAGTTGCATCCCTACATAGGTACAACATTCAGGGTCAGGGGTTCAAAAAAATAAAGCAATGGGAAACTAATGCAAACATGAGAATAACAGATATTTAAAACTTGTTTAAGTGGGTGATTACTTGTTCTCATATAGATACATTAATACAATAATTGTTTTATATATTTAATGGAACCTTTTTTCAATAAGTTTTTTTAAAAGTTGTATTTCATTGATTTTTTTTTAATTTAAAGATTTGAAAATTTGTGCATGCAAATAAGCTGAGATGGTAAGAGAAGAATATTTGTAAGGCTGAATGAACAGAACCTTAATTTTAAACAGCATGCATTTTATAATTTTAAAAAAATAACAGGTTTGAATTAACATTTTAGAGTCACTGAACAAATTAAATCAACCAACCAGTTGCCCGTTGGAATACTTTGCATCTTAAGGACATCTCCATCAACTGGCACGGCGACGTTGACATTTTTCAATGTGACAGCCGAAGACATTGCTGAGGGGTTATATCTGTAGTCGAGGCGAAAGTCTGTTGATGCATCGTCACATTTCCAGTACACTACTAGAGGTAGAGGGGTGCTTTCTACACCAGGTAAGGCTTTTACCTGGAATTAAATATTGGATTATGTATTAAAAGGACGTAATTGCTATTTTTTGAAAACCAGGAAATTTGTTTTAAAAAATTCTAGGCAATTTCTTGCTACCTGAAACAAATAGAAAAATAGAACAATGTCTGAGAAACTGAACAGTTCTGATAAAACAGGCTTTTTGAAATGATAATGTGCATCATTACTGCAAATAAAGCAGAGAAAATTATTGTCAGACAAAGTTAAGACAAGCCTTGACTAACCTGGTATTTAAGGATGTCTATGTTGAAATATGAAGCTGCTTTATTTTGTTCACCTTGCTGCCTGAGATGGTCAACTAAGTTAGACATGTTAAACTCATAAGTATGGACATCTGCTGTACTCTGGGATTCATCCCTGGAGGAGAGAGATAATGTGGTCATTGTTGTTTTTAAATCATTCAACTCATTAAAAAAATAGAATGTAAAAAGTTACTTGATGGAAATTCATTTATAATGGAAGATGTTCATCGATCTTGCCATAAACTCATTTTTGAATCAGCCACTAAAAGCATAAAAGCATTCTATATACATCAAAAATAGACTAGCAAAGCAAACAATCCTTAAATCCAGTTATTACTGAACAACACTGAGGAAAAGTTGTCACCTATTTAATCCTACTCATAAACTGACAATAATATATACACTATATACACAAAACAATGTTTCAATGAACACAGTTTAGGACTAAGATCAATTAAGGGTGGACTTACTTGGATAGAATGGCAGAGTTGGTGATGACTTGTTCCCACTTGTCTGCATTCTTTATGCGAAATGAAAGCAGGGCTGGGGATGGATTTTCTGTGAACACTCTAACAACACCCGCAGGAAATGACATCATTACATTTCCAATTGTGCGCACAACACACCTGTTTTTTTTTAATAATTAAAACTATGAGCAAATAAAAATATAAAGACAATTTGCACGTTAATTAATAAATTATCAAAGTACATTTTTTTTATAACTAACACTATATCATCACCTTAGCTCTTGAATATAAATATATGGCAGGCTTTCAAAAGTTTAATTTATGTATTCAATATTATAAATAATCTCAAGGGTATAATTTGTAATCAAGTCACACAAAAAAAGCCAGTTCTTTATTATTTACATTTCATGTCTTAGTAAAAAAAAAAAAACTAAAAAAATTTAGTACATCGTAAATGTATCAGTAATTGTAAACAGTTTTTTCAAATGAGTGTTTGGGCCCGTTACACAATTTTCATTTGTATTTTAAACTAAAAAATTATGTGTTTTTTTATAAACCACATGTTTACACACATAATCAGTGTCTTTAAATGTCAGATTTTATAACCACATCCAGCATAAGGATCACTTGAAACAATGGCATAATTAATGTTTTTACAAGAACTTACCTGCTGGCATCATGGCCTTTAAAAAAAGCATTCACTGTCTCAGTAAATGCAATGGCCAGTGGGACAGAGTCTGACATGCCAATGGTGAGGGGACTGGGACCCCGGGACGACCCTATAGGCATTGAAGTGGTGTTGAAGGTCATACTTCCATTACTGTCTGATCTACTCATTGGATTTGGTCCATTCATTTTAGTCTGAAAGAAAGGAAGAGGCTATTATTGAGAAAAAATTGACATCGAAACAATGCATCAATTTTTTTAAAACAAGTTTTTTGTTTAATGCTGACATCCAATAAAAAATTGACATCGAAACAATGCATCAATTTTTTTAAAACAAGTTTTTTGTTTAATGCTGGCATCCAATAAAAAATTTATTTCATCCATATAGATAAAATTGGAACAAATAATAAATGATCAGTGATATAAATTTATTCGAAGAGGCTTTTTTAAATTTATAGTAAGTCGATCGCCATCGATTATAGTTACAAATTTTTAAATAAGTTTGTATCACTTTTTTCTTTTGATGGTAAATGGTACTGTTGAAAATGTAATAGACTGCTAATATATTTCATTGATATTTTTGTGTAAAAACTAGTTCTAAAGCATCACCTCTCATATTAGTATATTTACACTAAATAAGGAAAAAAAAAACACTTATTGAATTTTAATGTGCAATACAAATTAAACACTATTTTGATTAAATAAGTAACAAAAATCCATCCTTAGGACCCCACTACCTGGGATATAAGGCCTCTTGTCCTAGAAGGAGGTCTAGCAACTGGAGGGGGGAGGCCACTCAATGGTGAAGTAGGAGTTAGTGGACCTGGTATACTCGGTAGTGCGGGTTTTCCATTACTATGGTTTGTGAAGTCTGCAAAATCTGCAAAGTCATCACAAAAATATTGTTTGAGAATGTTAGGGGAGACAAACTCAGTATCAAACATTTTAATATTTTAAAAATTTGTATTTTGCGTCTTGTGCAAACAAGTAGATTGAATGTTTTAAAATATAATTTTTCTTTTCATAAATAATTCAGTCTTTTGAGAAATCATCATTATTCCCAAATTAAAATAGTAGTTATGTGTTAACATTCACCATAAGAAACACGAAATAAATTTAAAAAAAAAATTCCTTCATTATTAGCCATGAATTCTGAATTACACATTTTTAAAAAGAGGTATTTTTTTATTTACCGCATGTCCTGTAAACTGTAATCTTAAATATCATGACAGGATTAGTAATGATACAATGATGATTACTGTGCAAACACCAAAGTAATGTTATAATTGTGCATATACATTTGTGCATCAATGTATGTCACCCAGGAAGGATTAATGAAGGAGACTTGACATCAAGGATCTGACCACAACAGGATATTAGTATTGACTTTTTTGTATTGAGAGATTAAAACAAATGTTCGGAGTGAAAAGTATGACCACTCGTTAGGTGTCAAATTACAAACCATAATAAATTTATCTTTATGAAATCTCACTGCAATGGAAATAACTTCATCACTTTTTCCCCTAGGCACTCTTTCACAGTGTGCTTATTCTTAACTAAATAAATATGACATTGAAATTAATTACCCTAACTCCTAATTATAAAAAGTTTAGAAGCTTATTCTTAATTAAATAAATATGACAACCGGCAAGCAGGTTTAACAACCAAAAATGTACTTTTTATTTAATATTTTTTAATCAGAAAAACTATCAGAGTGTATATGTTTTCAACCTGGTTTCTTAAAATTGCAGTTGCGACAGGTCTTTGCGTACAATAATAAAAGACATCTCAAAATTGTACACTGTACGCCAAAATCTTAAGAGTAAACAGGCCTGTAATGTCGAGTAATGGTGGGTGGGGCTGAAAATTTGACATAAAAAATTGGACGTGCATTCAAATTAATCCTGGCCCCTAACAATAGCTCCTTGTTTTTACACCCCTGAACTACTATATTAATGACACACCTCCTTTTACACCCCAGATTTATTTCACCATTTAAGAAAAACGAAAGAAAATATTATGCACTTTTTAAAAAAAGAATATTATTTTGCGCAATTATCAGTAATTTTATTTCGTGTAATCAGTGTCATCATATTTCCTTCATCTTCCACTTGAAAAACAGAAAAAACTGATTTTTGGGTGGGGGGTCTGAAAATTTGATCTAATAAGCTGTCTGAAAATGTTGCCATTAACACAATATAATGCCTTTTGAGGGGTTTTGATGTGTCAGAATAAAAAAGAGACTCATATTATTGCTTCATATAAACTTATTAAATACTGTTTCTAATTAAAACTCTAAACTGGTGTTCACAATGGGAAGCATGATTGAGTATAACCTTTATTCAGTATTAATACAAAAACACATAAATATGTGATGAGAAAAGTACAAATATATTGGGTGAAATGCATTAAATAAAGATGTATTTTTAAAGAGGCAAAGTGGGTAAAAAAAAATAACTTAAAACAATGCATTAAGAATGTATTTTAGAATGACTGTGTTAGTAATGCATATTAAACTCTGATTACTTGCTTTTAGTTAATTTCTTAGCTGCTAGAAGCTGGAATCCTGAAAGTAAGGTTTTATATCATTTTTTAAATTGTTAATTTTTTTGTTAATTAATGTTCAACATTTTAGTGAGGATAATACCATGCTGTTTATCAAAACCTCATGCACAGATATTTTTATTTATTTTAGGTGGGCAATTTTTAATTGGTTTACATTGAGTATACTGTAATTAAAATGTTGGTAACACTATAAGTGCCTCCAAGGTAATTCTGATTATTAGCATAATATTTTAATAATATTACAATACCAGGTGCAACTTTGCAATCTCCAATTAAATCATAAATAAAGTCGCATAAGCAACAGACTGACAATTCATTCAGGTACTACATTCTAATGAAAGTTACAAAAAATAGGATATAAGCAAATTTCCAGTTCTGAAGAATGGGTTCTCTAAAAATGTTCATATGAAACATTCTTTCAGTATGAAAGAAATTCTCTCCATCTACTTATAAACTAGGCCCATCCCTTCCATTCACATTCAAACCACTCAAATAATATTTTTAACAATATTAATTCCACGGTTATTTATTCAGGAAACAACTGGAACAGAATTAAAAGCATAATTTAAAAAATCAAGTTGGGGATCGGGGAGGAGGAGCACAAGTGTAACAATCGAAACAAAATTATTTAAAAATAAATATATATTGTAACCATTTCTACATACTTGAGGAAGGTGTTGTAGCTGCACTGCTGTTGGTGCTGTTCCAGTTGATCTCAGTCTGGGGGGAGAGGGGTGAAGGAAGGGTCACATTGTAATTGACACCAGTAGGGGTGGATGCTGCAGAGCTGGAGCCAAAGAAGTCGAGATTTAAAAGGTCTTGGCTGCTTGGTTTACTGCAATTTAAAACAAACCCAGAAATTTGATCAAAATTAAAACAATATCTCTTTTTTTTTTAAAAATAAACTATTAAATCCTGCAGTAGCTATTTACTGCTGAAGATAAAAAGTTTGCTCACAAAGCAGTGTGTAGTTAGGAAAACATCAAAAACATGAGAGGAGCTACATCTGATGAAGAGATAAGTAGTGCAATTACAAAAGTAAATAAAAACAGCAGTATCACTTACTCTAGAGTGTCTGAATCTGACTGTGATCTTTTCATTTTTTTGTCCACAGGAGTTTGACTCCTCTTCCTCTGCAAATCCGAACAACAAAAAGTGTAGTGGGTTTTTTTTTTGTAAAAAGATCTTAGTACAATTGTGTTCATATTAACTCAAATCTCTAGAAAGATAAATGTAATAAGCTTACTCCTTGACAAAAATATAATTTTTTTTTTACTTTGGGGCTATTTTTAAACATTTAGAAAATGCATCAAATAAGAACTGAAGTTGTTGTAAAAATTCATTTTTTTAGGAAATGCTCAAATTTAAAATAAGTTTGTTTGGATACTTACCATTGCAGAGGGTGATAATCTTAAACCTTCTACAGATGCCCTGATGTCTTCAATAGTGCTGGATGGGGCACAAGTGGGGCTTAAAGGCCTGATTTCTACTTTGATTTTTCTTCTGCTCTCTTCACCATCTAAGAAATGAAAGAAAAAGCAGATTTTCACAATGACACAAAGATAACATTTTAATAAGAAGTATCTGCTCACAGTTAGATTCCTCTAAAGTTCCCCCTGGTAAAGCCATAACCTTCTCCTTATCCTAACAATATACAATTTTACTTATCAAAATTTTAAAAATGCAGTTGTTGATTAGATAAAATGTACAACTATAAAATAAAGATCATGTGTATCACTAACCTGAGTCGGAATCACTATCACTTGAATACCAGCTGTTTTTATCCCCATTATCTTTTTTATGTTGTAAGGAAAAGGTGTAAAATTTATGGTACTATGAGAATCTTTGCTGGTTCAGTGGTCAGCAATACAATGAAACTCGGAGACATGGCCATTTACCAATAGATGATGCATCAATGACTTCACAACTCAGAAACTGACTTTTATCACACAAATTCAGCAATATGTATTGCTACCAAAAATATGATGAAAGACTTACAAAATATGTCATTTAAAAAATTAATTAACCATAAGCATTTGGGAAAATGCATTCAAATATATCAGCATTTTAGGCTATCTTCAATTGAAAAGGACACAAAAAAATTGATTAAATGAGCTAACATCATTTATGCTCTTGCTGGTTAACTTAAACTAACAGCCACACAAAAAGGATACGATCCATTGGGTGTTCTGGTCGTATCCTGTAACCTTCCTCATCAACTTCAATATTCTGAAATCATTTAGGAAAAAAAACTTAGGAATAAATGGTTCATACTTTTTGTTAAGATAAAATAATGCTTTTGAAGTAATTTTAAATACTATTTCGTTTACAGCTAGCTCTCTATATCTAAACCACACAATGCGCATAGACGTTCTAAAATATCCATCAAACATGTTCTTGTTAAATGTTTTATGAAAAAACATTGAAACTTACTGGATCTTGATTTTCTGCTTCACTGAAATGTTTAAGTCAATATAAGAGCAATTTAGTTAACCAGATTTGCACATGGAGTCAGGATAAAATGATTTTTATAAGATCAAACAAAATAACATTAGATAAGCAGCTGTTGGTATGTTTGTAAATTATACAAGTGAGTGGCATGATTGGGATATGTAGAATAAAATATCACATAAATTTGTTACTTAGAATTTTACCTACAAAGCATAGGAACTAAACTTATCTTATCTTTAACCATATAGTGAAAATTATCTTAATTTGTCCGAATGCTGCTCCACACAAGAACAGGCTAGATTTTTTATCTTAGATGCTGTGTTGCAATCACCATGTCTCAGAATTTAAATTATTATTTTTGGTGACACATAAGATAGTGTTTGAACACGGCTGGATCAATGTGACAGATTCAGAATGTAAGGACCCTCATATTTTAATGCTGTCTTTAATAAAAGCATAGCATGTATGGCTGAATAATATTTTATCAATGTAAAACCCACCACAATGATTATTCTGTCCTGGAGACTTAGTTATAAGAATAAAAAAATTATGCAAAAACTAAAGGAAATATTTAATGACTATATATATTCATCTATAAGTCTTTTTACCAACAATTATGAAATATGCTGTGACTCATGGATAAATCAAGGGTAAAACTTGGGGCTATGAAATACTGTAATTTTAAAACATTTTGTCATATTTTACCTAGCAGCAATCACTGCACTGTATACTAAACTATAACATCTGTCATTAGGCCTACACTCTCTTGTGGTTGGTGGTATGAGAGTGGACTCAGCAGTCAGTGATGAGGCATGTGGCTTGGTATCAGATTTCATTCAAGCATCAACAGCTGTTTTGTCTGTGTGGGTGAACCCGGTATCTGGGTCAACCTGCAGCAACTGCTAACTAAACTAGCCCTACCAGTAACTCAACATCCTCCTGCATTACAAGTACACAATTCTATCTAAACTAGCACTGACCCATGGATAAGTCAACTCTGAGTTTTAAAATGAAAATTATGACTAAAGTTCTTGACTTATACACGAGTATATACAGTATGTGGCTTGTAAAAATACAATTTGGTGCACACATTTAAATGATACAGAGTGTGTTTCAGAAACACAAAAATTCTGATTTTATTTATGCATCTAGAGAAGATACAAATTAATTTACATGATATAGGGCCCCTTACAACTAGTACCCCAAAGTTAATTACATTTTTCTAGATCAAAATTTGTTGGGCACCATAAGCACCAAGTCTATAGCTCCAATGCAATGGTTGGTAAAAACAAGTATCATTCATCCTATGCAAAATATATTCTTTACTTCTATGCTCTTGTAGACAACAAAACTTACACTGATTCATTGTCTTTCTCATCTTTGTCTTTTTTACCCTTTTTCTTGACCTTTTCTTTTCTTTTTGTTTTATTCTTCAAGAACCCTGAAGGAAAATTAAAAGCATTACGTTTATGAAAGAAATTAAATTAAGAACAGCTTAACTTATTCATACATAAAAGCCAATGAAATATAAGCAGCTTGTTTAAAATCTTATCCTGGATTGTTTTCTAAACTAGAATGAACTGTTATAAAACTATTTATATTAAAATCGTACATTTCAAATAAAATAATATTTTTTTAAATGTTAAATTCTCAAAATGTTAGTTATTCTTTTGTAAAGTTTAATTAATTTAGATCATTATTCTTTATCAAAATGCATATTTTTTTGCTAAATCTAAAATACAGTCTTTATGTTGCACCTTGAGAAGTTGACAAGGATTTTCTTTCTTGCCTAAGAAGTTTGTTAGAAGAAAAAATAATACTCAAGGTAGCTATCACCATGGATCATTACAAACAACAAAAATGCATTCGCAATATAGACACATGAATAAACACATAAGAAAAAAATCAAATCTCTGATATATATATATATGGAGTGATTAATATAAAATCTTAGATCCCAATCCTCAATTAAGACATTTTAGTTGAAGTTTCTTTGGTTAAAGAAAACTATATTTCAAAAAGATTTGCACCTAGGTGAGCAAAAACAGCCAGAGTAGCAAGGTCTGTTAAATTTATAGTAGTTTTGGGAATTCTTAATATTTATGTGAAATGGATTTGTTTTTTCAGAAATATTTAAAAAAAAAGATTTGAAAAAAAAAAGGGGGGATAAAAACCATTCAGAAACTTGTTTTCAAAGACACAATTAAACTTAAAAGATCTATATCTATAAACATTATCACATAATCATTTCAAATTTAAAAAAAAACAGAAGGCAAAGATGAGCATAAAATGCCGTTTTTGAACAAAACAAAAAAGCTTTTTATTTCAACAGTTAAATTAAGCTTCCATTGAATCAACACATAGAAATAAATTTCAAATGCTGAAAAGATCTATTTTTATTAGATATTTTGGTCATTTCAGGATATCCATCTAGCATAAATCTTAAAAATAAAGATGATCCCAACTTTAAAATTCTACAATTTGACTCTTTAGGAGCATTTGATGGATACAACTATTGTAAATGGTTGGAAGATGATTTTTTAGTGTGGTCTTCAAATCATGAAAAATTAAATGTGATATTATATCCTATTAGGTAGTTATGTACAATGTATTTTAAAATGTTTGAAATTTCTTACGACCATTGTTTTCATTAGGACAACCATTGTTTTCATTAGGACACTTAACACATCATGCGATACTCGCAAACGATATCTACTTTCTATTCAAGCAAAACATGAAACAGAGCAAGTGAGCTGCCTGAACAACAACTGTGACCTTCTACTTTTAATATTTGATAAATTTTCAATTTTTATTTAATCCATTCTCAACAATTCAAGAATAGAAATTTTAGTGAATGTACAAGGTCACAGTTTTAATGAACATATATAAATATTTCATTAAATTGTAGTGAGAAATCAATTAAATAAATAGTTATACAAGTATATGACAGAGCAATGAAATAAATTCTAAAAATCATAAAAATACTTATAGGAATTATCTAGTTGTCTTTTTTTAAAACTACCTTACTAAGTTTATTCTATTTAATGAGGTATTGAATTCTAAAATGTTATGTTTTATAAACATGTTAAAATGTGAGTTAAAAATATTTAGTAAAATAGCTAAAACACCATGTTAACAAGAACCTACTGTTATTAAGACATGCTTTAAAAAAAAATTAAAAAATTAGAAACTCTTGTTTTTTTATTGTTCTAGTTATGACTGAATCAAAATAAGCCACTTGATACTTATATTTCTGTGATATATTTAATTCAATGTAAAACCAGTTACTTTTTAATATTGGAAGTTGTAAATACTTTTATAAATTCTATTCCAAGCTTGTAATTTATTTAGCTCTTTTAACTTAGGATACTTAGGCACTACCTAGACATTATATTTTTAGTTTCAAAAAGTAAATTTTCCCTGAAATTTTTTTTTCTTCTTTGCTAAGTTTACGAGTAATTATTCAATAAAACAAAATTAGAAACATAGAAACTTATGCAATTACCAAACCAAAATGAAGCAACATAGCAAATATTAGAACCAAGCCAAAATCTAGGCAATTAATTATAGAAGTCAGTTTAGGAAGCCATCTTTTCTTAATAAGCCATATCTACTTGCTGCACAATCAAATTACCACAGCCAAAGTAAAGATAGAATAAATTTAAGAAAAAATGTGGTTGATGATATAAGAATATTACTGTCATATATTCACTTCCTAAAGTGACAAAGGCAAATTATAATATTTTTAAAAATCAAAAAGTGAGGCTCAGTTAACGAAAGTAATTTAACTTTTCAAGTAAAACCATTTAAATGTTATTTTAAATCATATAAAATAAATATAATTCAAGTCTTTATAGCCAACTCTTAAAGGTAAACTTTTAAACTTTATTATTGGAACTCACTCAATCTGATGAAGGTAAAAGCAATCTAAAAATATTTTTACTTTTTCTTTTAGTCCCTTCAAGCACAACATAAATATAATTCAATAACAGGATTCAGGTCATTAGGCATGAAAAGCTACTCAATCCTTCAAGCCTTAAATTATAAAATTAATAGCTAATTTAAGTATCTAGCAGTGAAAGTCATATCCTTGAAAAGTGAAAAAGTTTTTGGCTAAATTGAGTCTCACTGGAAACAAACAACTGTATAAAGCAGCAACAGATAAGAGCTATGCAAGTTAACAAAATGTTTGACTCTGGGGGAAGAGAGTAAGGATGTTTACATGTACGAGAGACGCGAAGCTTGACGCTGCGACTCAGGGGCCCTGGCTGGTCAGATAAAACAGGGCTGGGGTTTCCGCTGGCCTCTGAAAACACACAGGATCCACATGTGGTTTAGGGTTTTTTGTCAATTAGGTTAAGTTTCAGGAAACCCGTTCACATGTTTTTAAAGTGAAGACAGTATATAACAGTATTCAAGCAAAATTCAAAGTAGCATTTTCAATTTAAAAATATTATCTTTCAGTTTTTGTTTTTTTAAGCCAATATCTTAAGCCATTAGACCTTTATTCTAGCTTATCTTCTCCTAGCTGTAAAAATAATTACAGCACACAAATGAAAAAAAGCCACCAAAAAATTAAAAAAAACAAAAATCATCTTTTGATAACAGCATTGGCAGTATCTGCATTAAAAGGGATAGACTCAAAAAGTATAGTATCCTAAGATGCAACTTATTAATCAAGGTTATTAAATATGTATTTGTCTTTGTGTTAAAACTTTGCCTATGCCTAAAAAGTATTGGAAAATACATAAGATAAAGCTCAGTATTTTGATAAACTTACACGAATGATCTTTTAATTAAATGTCTAAAAATATTTCAAAAGATTTAAGTGGGTGGCAAAGTTGGCACCATTTATTTATAGGGGGTTTACACTACAAAAAAAAATTGTTAAAATAATTAACCCAAGGAAAATAGTCTGATTTTTCCATAGACCTTTTGCCCCCAGTGCAAACAAGCATTGCCTCCTACATTCTAGTAATAACTATGGGTGTAAACAGCAGAGGCACCTACTACTCATTATGATGGGTGTAAATAGCTTCACATAAACCCCACAGGACTCATTGAAAAACAAAACAAAAATGTTCTTTAATAAAAGGTGAGTAAGTGTCTTGAGTTAAATAAACTAATTTCTATTATTTATTTCCACTGACTGATTTTTGATTTTACAATTGTTGAGAATGGAGACTATTTATCTTGTCGATATTATGTGTGGTAAAATAATTTGCTTAGTAGATGCTCTTGATATTTTAAGTAGTTTTAAAAAATTAAAAAGTTGTCATAAATAAGAGGGGTACTTGTATTGCTTAGTAAAACATATAAAATATTGAATACAAGTATAGGACGTAGTAGGAATACTTGTATTCATATTGAAAAAGCACAATTGCTATTTTAATTTCTTGATAAATATTACATAATCTTCAAAATAATAAAGCCATGTGTTTTGTTTAGTACATAGCATTTATTTATAATAATGTTTAAATTAAAGAAACTAGGAGCATATACATATTATGTTAATTTAATGACACCATTAATCCTTCATACTGTCTAACTCAAGCAGTCAATTTTCAAATTCTAATTAATCAGTCAATCATAAATGAATCTTTGACCTGTTTATTTCCTTTAAATCAAGCACTTTAAATCAATTCTTTTAATTTTTATACATTTTATCAAATAAGTTCTTTTCAGTATTCTTGCAAATTGTGTGTTTTTTAAATAACTTAATTTTTAAATAAGCACTTGACAGCTGATAAAAATAAATAGTTTCATTCAAATAATTTATTTACCAGTTTATAATATCTATTGTAGGAGTAATGGTTTAAAATTTTTAAAATAATAAAAAGTTCTTCGAAGTTATGTTTTCTTCAGTATTCAGACATTTTTTTTTTTTTTTATTATTTCAAAAGGGTTGGTGAGGATGTGAAAGTCAAAGTAATCCACACAGAAACAACATGAGGTTGCTTTTGAAATGAAATAAACCAAAAAGGGGTCAAAGCTGTATAAAACTTTAAAACTCAAAATAATCACTCTGTAAAATGTTAATTTACTTGCACAACAATTTGTTATGTATTATTGTAGTAATTAATGATGAGCTATTGTCAGAACACAGATTAAAGAAAATAAAAATGCTTTACTGAAAAATCAAAGGTCTATCTTTTTTTCTCTTTTTTAAATAACATTCTTTTCCCTGTATCATGTATACCTTGCAATGATATCAGCAGAATGTAGTAGAGCATTTTTTTGTTTCTTTAAATGTGAACTATAAAGAAATATTCAGTTATCATGAATTTTATTACCAGTGAATGTCATTGGTGGATTAACAGATGGGGTATCTGTAAATTAAACAATATACAAAAACATTGTGCTGCACCTGAAAACTTTTAGTAGTAACATTTAACAAATTCAAAATTTATAACTACATGAACTCTGTTGGTCTAATTTAAAACTCATCAAAAGAACTAATAAATCCAATCAAAGTGTTTATATTATTTATAATGGGTTAGCATGGTATAAATCAATTCCCCTTTCCAAATATTTATTATTAATATTCAGTTTTAATATGGATTTTATTTTTATTTCTATCATCATAAATCATACTGTACAGGTTTTTATGTGTATCAGCGAATTTTATCCACAACTGATATTTGGCTAGGAATAATTACACTTTGAAAGTGAATTACAAATATTTACACTTGGTCAAGTTCAATATAATTATGTCCACTCAATTTATATGACACCTTAAGAGGTGTGTCTTGAAGACTTGTTCTTTCAATAAGTGTCTTAAATATATTAAAACACTTATTAATGAAACCTTTATTCTAGCTTTGAATATTTAAAAAATAAGACAAAATTGATAATCCAGTTAATTTATGCCTTAAGTGAGCTAGTCTCTCAGAAGAGGGTGCTATGAAACCAGCATAAAAACAGTTACAAGTAATGTAATGGGATATATTTGTTAAAATCCAAAACCATGTATAATGAAAATCTACAACCTCAAATCCATTAATAAATTATACTTTAAAGATTAATTGCACTATTTCAATCTAACCTATAACATGGAAAAAGATTAATTTTGAAGTGGGGAAAAAAACAATATGGTAACAGTCAAACCATTTGAAAAAAAACTATCCTATATGGCAGTCACTTTTTTTTTAAATAGAAAAACAACATCAAACATTAATGTGCTGTGCCAACAATATAGGAGGATAGCACTGGTCTTTTCCTAGTTGCTTTCAACCTACTCATCTTTAGAGGATTTTTAACAAAAATACTTTTCTCAGTTATAAAAGAGATCTGCATTAAAATTGAGGTCAGACAACTAAGAAATATTTTTACTTTTTTCTTAATTTTTTTTTACTTCCATTATACTTGTAGCACTGGCTGAGAACAAAGGGTTTAGACCAGACTTATAAAGACAATCAATGCTCACACTGTAACTAAATGTCTTAACGTGCCCCATGCTTATTTTCAGTATATATATTTATTTATTTTTTTGGTCTCTCTTTAGAAATAAGAATTTAAAAAAAGAACACATCATTCCCAATTTGATCAGGGAGATCAACATCTTAATAAAAAATAAAATGAAAACAATTTTAAAAGGGAATATCTAAAACTTGAAATAAATTGAATACCTTGTTTTTGTTTCTCTATAATACTGTCTCTTTTTTCAACATTGGGTTCAGGAGACATTGGTCTGTTGACTAGAAGGGAGGATAAGTCAGGCTCCACAAACTCAATAGGACCTGGGGAAAATGATGATATGTAAGCCACTAAAAGCATAAATTTCTACATACTAGAAATAATTGACTGAAATGAAATCGCTAACAAAAATAGTAGATATTTAACTAAATATTGAAACATTTTTCAGTTTCCTTTTAGGTTTCCAAATTAAAGTTTGAATGTCTAGCTTGAATCAATAGCAACATCTAAAAATGTAAATGAATGTCCTAAGTTAAAGTTAAATGCACCTCCTCATCAAAGATATCAACTAATATTTTTTTTGTTTTTTTTGCCCAAATGAAGAAGATATTGTGAGCTAATTTCTATTCAAACCTGGTTTTTCATTGCCAGTTCCCTTCTTCTCAATAAATGTGGTTATGAGCTTCTGGACTGTCATTTCATCACAGTTTTGCTTAAATTCTTGATGCACCTAAAGGTGAATTTTTAGAACTCATTCGATTATTTATTTATTTATTTATTTAGGCATTTTATATAGCGCTTACCATAAAGCTCTAAGCGCTTTACAATTATTAAAAACATAGCCCTCAGAAGCAAGAATGGAACTATTTATGAAATTATGTTTTTGACACACATCCATAAGCTCTTTTGTTATATTTTAATTATTTTTTATTTATTAGGAATCTGAGTTAAACAGAAAGAAGCTGATGTAATTTTTTTTTACTACATTTGAAATATTTCATTTTTATGACCATTCAGAAGGTACCAAAATATCTCTGGATTTGTCAAATAAATCCTATAATTAATTTTAATTAAGATACAACTAAAAATCGCTACCTGTCCCAACAAGGCATGTTCATTTTCCCATGATTTAGCAAAGGTGTCTATGAAATCCTTCATTTGACATATGTGCTCTTCTTCAAGCTCTTGATAATGCTGCAAAATATGTGTAACTTAAGACAATGGCAGCCACAATTTTAAACCATATAAACCTAGCAACTGAAAAAAATTTGATATCAAAAATGATTTCATTATTTTTGCTTTATTTGTTTAATAACTAATATTACTTAATTTTTGTTGCGTTTTAAAACTACTTACCATAAGTAAGTCTGAACAAGTGATTTGAGGCATTACATTTTTTACAAAACTTTTTTTAAGGCATAAATGCCATTTCCTTCAATATTTTAGGAATACAATTTTCATCAAATAGAGCAATGTAAGGTACACATAGCAATATTATATTCCAGTAGAGAATAAATATAATTTTATTAATTTATGTTAGAATTATGAATATCATTTTTTTCATTACAAATATAATTTTTACTAATACTTCAAGAAAAATTTTTTTAAGACTAAGATGACTAATTTAATTTTGATACTTAAAAACATAAATAGGAACATTTTATTAATCAATGCTTTTCTTTTTAAAAAAATGTTACTCTGACATGATTACTTACATGACAAGAGCCTATCATTTTCTCTTCAAATACATTCCGTACGTCTTTGAATTTTTCTATAAGTGTTTTGTATTCCTCCACTGTGAGGGAAAGAAATTAATAAAGACAGTAATTTGTTAATAGCTATAGTCAGCAAAACAATGGCGGCCACAATGCGTGAACTTTCCATCTACTTATTTGACAAAACATGCATTCAAGTAATGCCCTTTATAAGAATCCCACTCAGTGGTCCTCACCCCAGGTTCGCATCCGCAAACTTTTTTCAAGCCCTTGAATTATATTGATATTCTTATGTCCAACCCCCTTTTATACCGCAGATTAATAACACCATGTTTAAATTGAGACTATTTCCGTATATCAAAAGAAAATTTTACACACCTAATGTACCTGCAAAGTTTTTAAGAATCGCATTCACCGCACTTAACGGAATTTTGTAAAATGTGATATTAAACCTTAGCCTCAGTGAGGACATTACTACACAGAGAATTATGTATGTTGATAACAAGGGATCTGAAGCAGTAGCTTTTAAATGAAATCAGAAAAGAAAAGTAATTTCTTATGAATGCAATTATCATTCAGATACTGAAAGAAAATAAAAGTAAATCAAATACTTACAGGCTTTTTTATATTTCACTTCAGCCTGAAGAAGGAGAAAAAAATTGCAGTTAAAAGCAAGTATAAAATTATGATTGAATTTTTGGATATGTCAATTTACTTGAGTCAGATGTTTCTAAGAAGTCTGGAAACATTTATTAGTTTTTTCTCCATTCATCATTGATACTTAGAACAAACTTTTAATTTATTAATTAAATATTAAATCAATTTTTCTTCCAATTACAGATCATAAAAATCTGGGTATCAATCCAATTTATTACAATTTATGAAACTATATTTTGGACTAAAACCAAATGTCTTACCTTTTCTATATCTTTTTGAGAAGCATTATCCCTTTTGAGTCTCTCCATCTCTAAACACCTGGTGTGGTAAATCTCTTTAGCCTATGAGAGGTAGGGATTAGATTTGATATATGGTGTTTCTGATTAAACATCACAAGGAAGTAGCATCACTGTAGACTGCTTATTAAAATTTTTATTATTAGCAAGGCATCAATTTGAATTGGTAACTAAATTTTAACAGTTTCTCCTACCTTGTGTAAAGCTGTAGTAGTTTGCTGAATGGTTTGTACTGAATCAAGAGTAGCTTGTTCATTCTCTTTTATCTGTTCATTTTAGAAAAGATTAAATTACAATTTTAAAGTATCCTACTGACCCAATGCTTAAACAAATAAAGCCAATATTGTAATAACAACGATAATTTTTAATACATTTAATTATCATAAAAAAGAGAGTTTGACATTCTGACTTTTAAAACGATTATTTATTTATAAAAAAATATATTTCACAGCCCATGCTAACGAGTTAAGAAAAAAAGACCCACCTTTTCATGGAAATTTAACTATTGGCCAAGAATAATAGTGCTTCTCATAGCATTATTTTTAAATTTTGCTATATATAAAAACATATAAGATCTACTTTTACAATGAGCAAACTACAAAGTAATATTTGCATTACCATTTTATGACGCTTGTGTTGTTCCTCACTGTAGCGCACCATGTCCTTTATGAGATCAGACCAAGTGTGAACCAACTGCATTTGCAGACTGGATAGTTTTTCTATCAGTGATTTTAGCACATTCCAAAATGGCCCGAACGTACTGTAATATGTCAATTAAATAATATTAGCGATGTTATTATCTGTTATTCAGAAACTAATTATCTATTTTTAAAATCTGATTTCCAAACCAGTTCTCATGGTTTATAGGAAATAAAAAACAAAGAGTAGGGGAAAAACCTGAATTTTTTTTTTTAATTTAACCTCTAAAAAAAAAGCGTCCAGTCTAAGATAGTCCCAAAAGCATGAATGATAAACTTAACTCTGTGCAACCCAACTATAGAGAAAAATTGGAGTTATTATATGATAATTGTTTTTTTCTTAGCATACAAAGAGTAAGTATATTGATAACAGATCTGTGAAGAGTAGAAAAGTTATATTAGAAATGGAACTTTAATTTTTTTATTATAAAATTCTTTTAATTTAGTTTAGTGTTGTATTTTATTAGTTTTAGTATTTTCAATTGAGGACGTATATGCCATCTGTTCATTTTGCTTGTAAATTTAAATACTCAAGTGTGGATAATGAACCTTTAAACAAATCATCCACAAGGTGAATGACCAAATATCATTAACATAAGAAATAAGTACGGACACAACAAGGTTGTGTTTTCTCCCCTCTCTTGTATAAAATATATCCTTATGATACATTCTGTATAAAAAAGTCAACCAATGACTTTTCTATCTTACTAAGTTATTAGCTTATTCTACAGTGCAACAATTTGATGCCTAATGAACAATATTAATAGCTTGGTGTGGGAATTCATCCTCTAACATCAAACACCAATTAAATAGACTAATCAAGAAAGCTAGTTATATCACACAAACTAATAAACCTTCCTTGAAGACGATTTGAAGAAAAAATGCTGTTGTAAAACTAAAAAAAATGTTTGAGGATAAATCCCATCCTCTTAATCACAGAAACTTGAGTTCAGGGTGAAACTCAATCAGAGTGATTTCTTTCCCTTAAAGTTAGGACCAAAAGGTATTAAAATTCTTTTGTTCTCCAGTCTGTCAGAATTTACTAGCATTTACCATTGCTAAATGATCACTAATATTAAGTCAATGTTGTCACTAAAGGGATTACGTTGCATGGCATATGATGGCTGATTGTACTGTCTGAAAAATACTTAAGTTATAAAATGTTGTCTTGGGTATAGAATATTTATCTATTTATGTGCTGAAATTAATATGTACTTTGTTATAAAAAAATATATCCATTTATTTGATCTATAAAGAATGTTAGCTTATCTACAGTCTGCACAAGGATTTCAAAATGCGCAAAGAATATTGGTCGTATAATTGTTCTTAAGGCAATATGGGCATTATAATAGCGGCTTAATGACAAAGGATTGCTGCTTATTGTGTTTCAAGAATTACTTTAAAATTACCTTGGTTAAAAACTGTTATATTAATCAGAATCATAAATAGCCACATCTAAATGCACAACATGCCACCTAAATGTCACTATGGTGCAGCAGCCATCATTGTGCTAATAGTTTGCTATTAAATTATTTTTTTTTAAATTTAATTCGATTATGGTGTTGTAAAAAAAAAAAAAAACTGATTCTTGTTTTCAAAACCAATAATCACAAATCAGTAGTTTATATAATCTCCATATTTAAAAACACTCCTTTAAAAATCGAGAATATATTTTTTCTTAAATATAAAATTAATGTTTAACATTTGTTGAATTAATTAACCTATTAAACCTGGGCCGCACTGAAGTTTACCCACAAGAACTGTAACATGTTAAGAAATATATTTTCAAATATTCTTTTTTGTAAAACCATTACATTATATAAAATGAATTGCATTCATAAATGGTTACTTTATATGTTGTTTTATATGTTTCCATACTTTCGTTATGTAATTTCTAAAACTGTGACAAAGTACTTGACTACTTTTGATCACAATCATTATTAAAAAAGAAAAAAAAAACACTATCCATGAGTAATAAACTATTTCACAGTAAGTTCCACATCAGTCTCACATCTTGCAAATCTTTCATTTAAAAGCAACAAGAGTTCTTTTATTGTGTATAACAATGTGTAATCAGTGTGCCCAGTTGCCTGATTTGGTCAATTCTGGATTCTATCCATCTCTGCCAGATTAACTTGAGCATGTAAGTATGCCGTATATGTCTGATAAAAAGTTTACACTAATTTACCAAATAAAGAGGCTTCCAAAAAAACCATGAATGAACTACTCACCCAACTGGAGGTGTGTTGGCTGCTAACTTTGCCAATTTACTTAGCAACTTGCTATAGTTTTCCTCAACAGTGCAGCTGGCAGATAAGGAAATCAATGAATTTATTTATGCTTTTAAAGATTATTAGCTTAACAATTTTAAGGAAGTTATAATTTTTCTTTTTTTTTTTTTTTTTTTATTAGTTCATTATTAGCTTCTCTTTCATCTTGCATTTATCAACACTTTTTTTTTAAATTATTGTGGCAAAAATAGTTTAAAGTTAAACGGCAAACCTTTCTCTGAGAAAGATTTTTTTTTTTTAATTTTTAAGAAATTTTTATTTTTTTTTTTTTTTTTTTTTTTTTTTTATTAGTTCATTATTAGCTTCTCTTTCATCTTGCATTTATCAACACTTTTTTCTTAAATTATTGTGGCAAAAATAGTTTAAAGTTAAACGGCAAACCTTTCTCTGAGAAAGTCTATAAGCTCTTTTGTTGAAGTCTGACCATGTTTCATATTATGATACAGAGCAAAGTATCCATTGTTCTTGGGACCCTAAAAAGAGCATATTTGTAATTAGTGATATATTGACAACATACTTGTGGGTTTTTTTATTTAGAGAAAATAAATTTCTTAGCATTAGCATGTTTTGCTTTTACAAAGTAAAAAAGATTGAAACATTAAAACTAGTCTAGGGCCAACTGATTTAGCTTTTATTGAAGCACATTATGATATAACAGGACAAAATGTCAGATAAAATTTAAGCTTTAGGTCTTAGTTTACGATTTTTGCTTCAAGAAAAGTCTTCATAAGAAGTCTAAGAAAAACTCAATAATTGAATAAGTTGTCAAGTTTTGACTCTGGCAAATATCAGTGCCAGAAAAATGATAACAAGGAGGTGTTAAAAATGAGTTTCAATATAATATTTTGTAGGCTGTACTGTAACTGTAGGTACTAAGCCTACAATAACAATGAAAATGTATATGTGTTGTCATGAAACTAGTCTCTGTTGATTGTTTGTTAAGCACTGTGTAGACCTATTAATCTGTGAAGAATAGGCTAATCCTTTTTCTTTAACTTAAGTGAAATTGAGTTTTTTGTATAGGTCTACATTTTTTTTAGAATTAGGCCCAAATTATTAGACCTGTTGGTTAAGTTATTATCATTATGGTATTATTTATCTTATTACCATAGTCTGTGGCTCTTAAAGGGGGCAATACCGACCAAGATGGTTCTTAAGGGGGCAGTTTAGGGAAAAGCGGGGGGGGGGGAACTACTATTTCAAGAATAATACAGATTTTATTAAAATTATATATTTTAAAGAAATTTTACATACTTTTTGTAAAGCCATAATCAAATAAGACAGGTTATTACATAATGTGTTCCCATATAACTAGAAGAGATAGAAGTCTTTTTGTTTAACCTTTAAACAGAATATCCAGTGGCTATTAACAATACAAAGCTAGGGGCTGTGAGCTGACAACAATTGGTGTATTCAAATGAACTTAAAAAGTTCTGGTGAATATTGTCAAGAACTAACACTGCAACCTTTTTCTGTATATTGTGAGAAACATTGTCCGCAGGTTGCTGAAGGGGGTAGGGGAGAAAAAATATTGGCCAGCTACAGGCGGCACTAATGCTAGTGATGCACTGCTTTAATGTGCATTGCAATGCCGCTCATCAAAACACCCATTTCTTGTGTGAATCATAACATTGGATAAAGTGCTGTTATTTGCAAGACATCAGCAATAGGAGGGGTGTCAATACAATATAATAGGGTTTGTCATTTTCCAAGTTGTAAAATGTCACAGCACACTATGTAACGTTACTATTTTTAGAACTATCAACAACATGTACGCAAAAAATGTATCTAACATCTATTTCAACATACGTACACCAGGGAAAATTTGTGTATTTGTAAAATCTTTTTTAGACTATAGTTGTAAAAAATGTTTGTGCATAACTTTTAAAATAATTTGACAAGAGGTGGAGAGTTGTACATTATTGGATGTTATTATTTTTCCAAACCAGTTTATGAAGAAAACTGTGGGATTCAATAGGATATTTGCAAAAATATGCAAACATTTACATTTGATACAGCGTCATAAGATAATATGAGTAATTTAAGGATTTTCTTTTGATTTAAATCACAGATTGTGTGATAAATATGTTTCATATTTGAAGCAGCCGGTTAACTGGAGTGAGGGGGTGGGGGGGCTAATCCAAAAATGATATGAGTGCAAAAGGAGAATTACTAAGCCCATATTATATCATACTAAGAACTAATGATCAGTTAAAATGTAAGACATCTAAAACTGATGCAAATAATTATGCTTCATAATTTGCCATCTTCAGTGCAGTTGTCATGGGCAACCATTCAGTCACTTACATTTGACTATTCTATATATTCTCAGAGTTTCATTTATAAAAGAATTGAAAAATTGGTCAAGGAAAGCTTTAATTAATTAGTCATGTGCATAAGTTTAAATTAAGTGGCCCCTAACCAGAATTTTTTTTAGTTTGACACGCTGTCTTACAATAGACATTTATATTTATAACGGATGCTTTAGACTTGGTAAATAAAGGCCATATCATATATTATATATTCGATTTACTGATAATGCATAGGACATAACTATATAGGCTAATAGGTTAAAATTGTATTATTATAGCATATTATTTTTTTTAAATTTATTATTACTTTTTAAATATGAGAACTTTACAATCAGCATTAATCCTGAAAAGTAATGTTACAAAATTTCTTTAAAACATGATTTACAGCTGAAGACGCGATCAGCGAAATCGGGTCATAAAATATGGAGGCAGTCCATCTCCATGGTCCATAAAAAAATATTCCATGGCCATAGTTATTCCATGGCCATAGTTATTCCATGGCCATAGTACCAAAGCAAAAAAACTATAAACGAATTCCCCCTTTAAAAATGAATATTGATTCTTGATTCTTTACTGCTTTAGATGCCTTTACTTTTACAGTTTAAGTTTAGGTCTAGGTTAATGATCTCAATCTCAGTGATCTGATTCTGATATTGCTCATAAAGTCATAAAGTAAGTACTTTTAAGCAAGAAAGTTGACCCTGGTTTCTTGTTTTTTTTTAAATTTGAAGTTTGCTCTAGTCTATACAAATGTAAAAATTGTATAATTAAAATTTAAAATGTTTAAATTCTTTTTTACATTTTTTATACAATAATACTGTGATACTTATATGTGAAGAGGGTAGGAGGTGTGTCAACAAAACTACTTCCGGTTTCACGATATACACTAGACTTAGACTATCACTGTCTGACGACACTTCTTATACGCTTCACTGTACTATTTTAACAATATTTATCAAATTACTAATCCTAAATAGCATAAGGTTAAAACTAAGAAAATATTTCGAATAGTTTTATTATTGCTATTAACAATGACAATTTTATCAAAATAGTTCGAAATAATTATAGTAGTAGAAGATACTTTCCTCTTGAGAAACAACTCCATTCATAAATTTGGAAATCCGTTCCATTTCTTATGTAAAGCAAGCATTGGAGCCCATTCAAATGTTAATATACTTATTTAATATATTGTTAATTAAACATTTAAGGTTAATTATCAAACTTACCCAAAAGTGGTCAGCAAACGTAGTCATTTTGACTTCAAAAAAAATTTCTGCATCTAGCCATGAAGATTTTTAGATGGCGTTTATTTTGATTCATAGCGCATGTCAACGGGGAGATAAGCCAAATCGCACTTCCTGAAATTAACGTCAAGAGAATTATTTTTTAAACATGTTCTCATTTACTATTTCTGATGGTCTTTGTTGAGGACGATGCATATTTTGATGTTTCAATCTCATGCTTGTTAGCTGACCTCAAAAACACATGACATTGATTATACATTCTAAAAATTGCCAAATTCAATTAAATGAATTCACAGTTGCCTGAGTTGCAATATAGAGTCGGAGATCAATCTTTTTGAAACCAAAATTAATCTGTTCCCCCTACTTTGGATTAAAATGTAACTCTATTCAAGCGAAATATTGGCCGTCTCGTATCATGCTTATTTCAGAGTCCAACCAGCTAGAAGAGAAGAGTAAAAGGCAAGATGCTTATTTGGTGGTTAGGATTCCTTTGCAACCATTTGGATATGCTATGTCTCCGTCTACACAAGATGGACTGAGTCAGACCATAGTCTGAGCGATTTAAAGGTTTCCTAGTTCTTGGCTACAGGCTACACTATAAAATTGTTCAGACTAATCTAATCTGCTTTGAAGATGGTTAAAAAGCTTTTTGTTGCATTTTCATCAATATATATGGTGGAAGGTGGTTATATTGCGATCATCCTCCAGCTCTGCTCAGAGCAAAGATAAGTCATTACGAAAATATTGTCAATGACGTTTCTGCCCATAAACTTAAAACATGGCCACATAAGATCTTCTACCATCCCTTTACCAAGCCGATGCATCCATCGCACTGTTTCTTCCAGGCATCTCTCTGGGGGCAGTGCCCCGAAGCTAGTCAAGTGCCCCTCCCCCCCAAAAAAAAGGGGGGGGGGGTAATTGTGTACTACTATAAAACGAAAATATTTTTTTAAAAATGTAACGACTAAATCGTCAATTTTATAACAGTTTTAAAAAGAATAAACTCTAGTAACCGGTGCCTTTAACGATAACAATTATTTTGGAATCTATGACATATTGCTATACTCGATAGATTTGATACCCGTATATTTAAATTAAATTTCGTTAGACGCCTACCATATTCGATTTTAATTATCGTAGGCCTACTGTTCCGAAATTGGCCGCTCCTGATTATATGCAGACTTTAATAACATGGTAGGCTATTAATAAACTACCTTTACAACAATATAAAGGTCTGTCATTCTACTATAGTCTTTGCCAAGTATCATTCATTTGTAATCTGTTTTCAAATTATCCTCCATCATAAAAGCATGACCTTTAAAACTTGTGATCCGTGTTTTGAAAATTGCAGTGTTTTGCTTCGGATTCTTAACCAACGCTGTATCCCCTCTCAATTTCACCCCCCCCCCCTTTCCCTATAAATTACCGGAATAGTGTTATTGTAGGGAAAAAAAAATATATATTTATTTAAAATTGCAGTTTTTTTCTTCGGATTCTTAACCAACGCTTTATCCCCCCTCAATTTCCCCCCCCCCCCCCTTTCCCTATAAATTACCGGAATAGTGTTATTGTAGGGAAAAAAAAATATATATTTAGTTGTCTATTGATTTTATTTCTTTTATTGGCTCTCTATAAACAACATACAAATAATACGCAAAAACAACTAGCAATCGCAGCAAATACAATTTCTGGATCTTCCTCTTTAACCCCTGGTTAAGAACCACTGCTCTAGGGCAGGCCTGCACAACATGCGGCCCGCCAGCACCCACTTTGTGGCCCGCGAGGTAACGAAATATTCTTTCTTCTTATTATTTTCTTGCAGTATTTTGTCCTATTTTGTTTTGGCCCGCAAAAGTCCTGTCCTACTTTTATTTGGCACGCACAAGTTTTTCATAAAGTATTACGGCCCACCTTACATTTTGAGTTGTGCAGGCCTGCTCTAGGGTAATGTTTCTGTTATAGGTGCAGTAATTTAATATTGTGGAGAGTTCGGATCTGGATGCGACAGGGGTGGGGGTAGCGACCGACTGATCAAAGGGCCGGGCGCGTCAGATCTCACAGCAGGGTTACCGGCCATCTGACTAGGGTCTGGTTTGGACCTGGATGAGACAGGGGTGGGGGTAGCGACCGACTGATCAAAGGGGCCGGGCTTGTCAGATTACAGACCTGGGAAAGAAACTCTATGGGCTTGGGACTTATAAATAGGGACCTCTGGACAGGACTGAGCAGAACTCAGCCGGACAGAGAAGCGGACAGTCAGGGAGAGCTCCGACGTTTGGAGTAGAGGGCAGTCAGAGTTGCGAGATGAGAGACAGTATAAGCGAAGTATCAGCCCAATAAAAGAACAAGATTATAATCATCAAATGTTATCGCCTGAGTTGCTTCCTTAGTGAACACCAGATATAGATGAAGGTTAGCAGAGAGCAAACAAGGTTTCCTTACAATATCCATGGTTGTAATTTTTTAAAGTGTTAGTAAATGACTGTAGTGGACAGAGGGCTTTTTATAAAGAGGGTGAGGTGTGCAGAGGTTTCTGACGTTATTTTTAAAGGGGGTTGGGGTCAATGTTCCCTCTAAGGTTTGTTGGTTCGTGTGCAAAATCATACAGTTGTGTGCAAAGTTTTACGGTTTCAATTTTTTGTGCGCAAAATTTTACAGCCCACTCACTTACATGGAAATGTGCTGCCCAGTACTCAAAACTGCTGCGCGGCGTCTGTGAGATAGCTGCGCGGCCGCGCAGCCGCGCAGCTTAAAGGGAACAGTTGGAGAGGGGGGTGAGACTTTAGTGACAATAGTGGGGGGGGCCGGGGGGGAAGGTTAAAATCACCAAAATTTGCGTGACGTCATTTATGCATGTCCCCTTCCTAAACAGCGTTGTTTTAAATATTGTTTTGTTTTTGTTGTTTTTTTTTAATTTAAACTATTTATTTCGTTAAATGGCTTTATTAGTTTTTTTTTTAATCCTTACAAAACGGTGGCCGTCACAAAAAGCAAGTATATACTAATTTCATTCCTAAATATTTCAAAGCTCTACTAAATACAAAAGGAGCAAAAATACTGTTTTGTAGAAAAGATCTTTATATCCTAAATGAAAAATTCTATAAAAATGTTTACAAATAGCAAAAATTAAACTTATATCTATGTTAAATGTTAACTATGTTTATAAAGCATGATGAAAGTATAAAATTAACACCATGCCTTAGTTTAAAAGTTTAGTTATACAGGTATTGTAAAGAAATCGAAATTTAATCATTCGCAAAAACTATCTCAAACTGCTGGCCTTTATAGCAATGGCAAGTTAGTTAAATTCCGTATTGCCCAGAGTAAGGCAACACTTTTCCCCATTATATAAGTCTTTAAGCTAACGGGAAGATGTGCTGGAAAAAAAAATTATAATAATAGATCTACCGGGTTAAAAATAATTTGCGAGGAACATAAAAACTATTTAGCGTAGCGATATTTTATTGGTTTAACTACAATGGCGTCACCAGGGTTGGTGTCAGGGCCGGATTAAGCCATCTTGGTGCCCTAGGCATAAACTCTCAAGGGTGCCTCTACTGCCCCGGGCCCCCGATCCTCCACTGACTGCTGGTTTGTTCAATATTATGCAAAAACTAACAAAGAAAAACAGTTGTGAAATGTAAACACATATGTTTGTACCATTATCACTCTTATAAAACCTACAATAGGGTATTTCTGTATTAAAATTAATAGTTAATTAATTTTGTAATAATAGTAGACAAAAATACTGTAACTTTTTGGATAGGTAAGCAAGTCAGAGAGAGAGCACACATTTACATTTTAAAATTCTTTTTTTCTAGATTTACGTCTGGCAAAGTTTTTGAGTACATCATCAAAGTTAATTTTGCGCAGCGAGTCTGCCTCAATCATCAGCAAATATAAGGAATCAAGCCTTTCTTGTTTCATTGTCGAGCTATTGGATTTTTTGTACGTTTCAACTGAGAAAAAGAAGAGCGCTCAGTTGAACAGTTCGTAAATATTAATTTTAAAAATATGCACAAGGCGATTTCTACATTGGGTAAAGCACACTCGATGTTGTCTCTAACTATTACTTTGTAGAGTTCTGCATGACTGAACGTGTTGTTCTCAGATTTTGATGCACGAAACTTGTGGCAAATATATGAGTGGAAATGTTGTAGTTAAGTATATAAATTATTGTTCAGATTTTCAGGATAAGCATTTATTAGTCCTTCACAACTCTGAGATGATTGTGGTACATCGACCAAACAAGAAAATAGAACTGCTAGTTCATTATATACCTGTCCACGTCTACTCATCCCTGTCTCAAGTTTGTCAACAATGGTGTAGAAAACAGATATACGAAATATATACAAAAGCAGATATACGAAATTTGTCTCTGGCAATGGCATTCTGAGATACCCGAGGGGCATCACTATCAATGACCACTGTCTTTCGTTTACGATTACGGGTCGAAGTTGACTTATAATCCAAACCTGGTGTTATTTCTTTTGCAGCTTCTTCAAATCTTTTAAATTCATTCCTAGATTCATGCAAGTGATCACACAAAACCTTGAATAATTTTTTTTTTAAATAGCAAAAAATCTGGTTGGGGGGGGGGGGGTATTTTACCCCTGGGTTATGGGACCAATGTTAAATAATGTGTGTTTAAATATTTCATTTGAGTTTTGCCTATGCCATGCAATTACGCTACCGGGACAATATACATATTTTTCATGAGGACTTGTAGTGCCCCCCAAATGCTTGGTGCCCTAGGCACGTACCTTGTTTGCCTAATGGTTAATCCAGGCCTGGATGGTGTCACCTGGTTCGGCAATTCGTAATTCCCCCTGCACCGTATACTTCTTAATTCTTAACCAGATCAATAATAATCGCTTATAGTAGTTTTTGTAAATTAAGTCCTTAAAAATATATTTAGAAAAATAGAATTTGATGTAACATGGTTTTAGAAAATAAATACATTAAAATTACATTTGAAACTTCACTTTCCTGATCTTTAAAGATGAAAACCATTTCAATAATTTAATGAAATTTAGCATTCTCGCGCTTATCACTTTTAACTAGCAAAACCGCAAGACCAGAAAGA